ATTAAATGAAATGATGTGATCTTTTTCATGTGATATTTGAAAATCATCCGCGACGCCAAATTTTATATTTGATATTATTACATATCTGTATAAGAAATTTTTGTCTTTTTTTTAAGTAAATATTTGATATACTAAAAATTCTAAAAAAAAAAAAAAAAACTGTCCTGTGCTATTCGTCATTTGAAAGTATAAGTAAATCGATATGGATCAATCGGAACAGGATATGGCTAGCGCCGGTATGTTTATTGGGGGGTTTTTCCTTTTAGAAAAATGCTTATGTTTATGTTAATACATGAGCGTTTTATATATGTGTGTGTCTTTCATTTTTTATCTAGGCAAACACTTTTGACAAGTTTTCATGCCCGGTTGTTAATGTCGGTGACCTTACTGATATTTAATATCTTGTTATAAACGTGCAAGTTATTATATTGGAAATTTTAAAAATTTAGTTGTTTCTCTTTAACTTTATATAAAGAAAATATATCTTGAACAGTGATTCAAAATGGTTTAAACTTTCTTTTGGTGAAGTTTGGGAAGATAATTGGGTGAACAATTACAAAAGGCTCAGAAGATTAGTCTTACTCCTCGTGCGTTATTATGAAGAAATCCTTGGATTTCGTGCTAATCGTCTTGAAATTCTAGTTCCTAGATATATTACATAAGATGGGAACTTAGTCGAGACAATGAAGCTGTTTTCATTAATTGTTACTTTGGCTGTGAATCACGTTAATAAATCATCATATATTGAAAAAAAAAAATAACGCAAAATCGCAATAAGGTTTGATGTTTTCCATTGAACTGGTATGTGCTGTGAATTTATTTCTTAATTAAAATATAACAAATTTTTTTTAATTAGCCCTGTAAATATAAATTTGTGTTATGAATCGATTAGGGAAAATTACTGTCGACTCACAAGAAATCATCATCATTCAACTTGTAATTAAATATATATAGATTTATTTCGTTATACAAGGTTTTAAGAATTAATTTTTTTTTATTGCGTGATTTATTATTTATTTTAGAGATGAAATTCATGCGGAGCATGGAAACTTGTTTCTCAAAAGAAGCTCTAGATAAAGCACATTAAGCCTTATTATTCGAAGCATTGCGTGATCAATGTGTATGTAAAATTTCAATTTATTATAAAGCTTTAAATAATAAATTTGAGATGAATTTCTGAAATTATGATAGATTAATAAATAACATACAGTATGTGTATTTTCTATTTATTTATGAATTTCGGAAATAAAACCGATTTATTATATTATTTCTCTATACATTGCAGGAAGAAGAAACTTGCTGAGATTAATGATTTCACATGCCAAGTTGGGTTTCATTTTAAAATCATCTTCAATTTAATATATTTCGAAGAGATTCTATTAAATATTGATTTATAAAGTAAATCATTAGAATAAAATACTCACCGAACAAGCAAACAACAAACTATTGAATTACAAATTAGAATTTGGGAAAATAATTTTTTTTTTAAAAAATTTCTTGGTTACGGTGATGGGTTTTGGTCACATTTTGATTTTAAATATATTGGACAAGGTTTTGAACAAGAAAAATTGTCCAAAACCTATCCGACTGAAAATAATTTTACTAAAATCTAAGAGAAGCATTTTATAGTTAATAAGTTTATAAAAAGATTTAACTTGTAATATAAAATTAATGATATTAGATTATTATAAATTACTAAATGAAATTCATCATTAATAACTTTTATTTTATTTATAAATTATTACATTTAATAAATATATCTTACAATTATTTACTAATTATTATAATTTTAATCTAAATTTTATTTAAAAAAATTTTTATAAAAATCATTTTAAATAATTTATTTATTAACCTTTTTTTAATTCTTTTATACAAAATTCAAATTTAAAAAGAGATTTAGGATAATAATCTGAAATATAAAGTTAAAATTGCTTTTTTATATATAAAAAAATTTTAAAATATAAAAATTTAATAATATTATAAATTCTTTATTTTTCTTATAATAAATTAAAATTTTTATTATAAAAATATATAAATAAATATCATTCAATAATTAAACTTCTAAAATTTTTTACAAATTATATTTCTTTAATAGTAAAAGAAGCAAATAAATGTGTCTGCAATTTTAATATATTTTCATTAATTTTAATTTAAAATTTTATTAATTACGTATTTTTTTTTTTGATTTTACTTAAAATATCTTATAAATTTTATTATAAAATATTTTATTAAATTAAACTATTTATATTATATAAATTTTTATAAATTTCAAATAAATTATTTTAAATTATATATATTTATTTTAAAATTAAAAATTATATATAATAAATATTTTATTTTACTTTATATTATATTTAAAATTTATTAATATTTTAAATATTAATTTAATTTTTATATATAATATAAATTATATAAATTTACAAGCAAATTTGCCTCTTTATTTTTATAAATTCATTTTTAATTTACTTCTAAATTAATTTTAATAAATATATTATATTATAGTAATATTTTATTTTTTAATTAATAAAAAATTTAAAGTAATTTTTAAGTTAAAATTTATAACCTTTTGATAATCTTATTAAATTTATTTTTAACTATATTAATTATAATATGATATTATAAAATTTATTTTAAAAAAAAACTTTATTTATTATTATTTTATAATTTATTTAAAAATTTTATGATATAAATTTAATTAACATGTAAATATATAGATATTTTACAATAAAAAAGACAAAAATTATTAAAAAAATTTATTATATTAAATTTTTTAAATTTAATTTTAAATAATTAATTTATATAATTTTTTTTAATAAACTTAAATACTTTCATCAGTACAGACTTGATATACATCTATTCTATATTATTATATAAATTTCACAATTAATCTTTATAAGATAAGGGTACAATTAGAATTTTTATTATTTTTATTATATTGTTTAACAAGAAATAATAATTTAGTTTTATAAAACTATTTGATATATTTAAATCAAATTTCTGCTTCATCTAAAATTTTAAATAAAGTGATATATGAAATTTACATTTATTAAAGATCAATTTTAATAATAAATATCTAATGCATTCAATGTTTTTTTAAGAATAAAAAATATTTAAGCTAAAATATTCTATAAAGTTTTTATAATATAAAGATAAAATAATAAAATTAGTATTAGAAGTCTTATAAAAAATTTTTATTAAAAATTACATCAGCAATACTAATATATAATTTTATAAAAGTAAAAAAATTTAGAATAATCTAAGAATTATAAAACAAGAAATAATATAAATATTGAAGATATAAATTTAATCTGTAAGGTATAATAGGAAATATGAAAATTAAGTTTTGATAATATTATATATTAGAAACTTATAAGATATTTTGTATAATATATATTACCTTGATTATAAGAGATAATAATTTTTGATATTTAATTCTGTTTTACTTTTAGATTACTTATTATATATATACCTTTTTTACTAAAATAAGTGCTATCAGTATTATCTTATCACTTGCATAGTTATTAAAACTAATTTTATAATATTCTTTAAATATTTTTTAAATTTTTCTTTTTTTGTATTTTATTATCAAACACATTTGATATAGATTCAATTACATTTAAAACAAAGTTATAATCAATATTATTTGACTTTTTATTTTTATTATCTTCAAAAAAATTCTAAAGAGAATGTTAGAAAAAACAGGATTTTTAAAAGCTTCTGCTAAATGATGATTAAAATAAATTCAATTAGTAATATATATTTCTTTCTATTTCTTTAATTTTGTAATTAAACTTGAAAAATCTGATAATTTTATTTTCTTTATAAGACTTTTTATGCAAACTTCTATACTTTTATGTTGGCTTTACATTTATAAAATATTAAAGTATTGAAGAAAAAAAAATAAAAAATAATCAATTAAATAATATAATATATAAATAAATAAATAAAATGAAAAATAATTTTTTATATATCAATATAAAAATAAGTATTTAATATTAATAAATAGAAGGTGAGCATAGAAAAGAAAATTTATAAATTTTGAGTAATTTTAATTATTAAGCTAGTTTTATTCAGATAACTATGATTAGCAAAATAAATTAATAAAAAATTTTTGATTAAAAGTAGATTTCTCTTTTCTACTGATCATTTTTCAAATAAGCAAATGTAGATAAAAATAAAGTAATGAAAATAATTAAAGGTATAATAATAAATAATCAAAATAAGTTAGTTAATATTGCAAAATATACTAAATATTTTTATAAATAAATAAATAAATAAAATGATATATACTTTTTTTTTTATATAATTGTTTATTAACTTTATTTATATTATTGGTTAATTTATTTTATAAATTTATAACATGATCTTTCTATTTTATAAATTAATCTTATTTATTCTTACATCTTTAATTTCTTTAATTTCTTTTTCAATTTCACTTTTTTTTACTTATCTTTTTCATCAAGACCTTTTCTCAATTTTCTTAATAACTTTAACTAATGATGTTTGGTAAAACTGAACATTTAATCATATGATGAAAGTGAAACTATTTAGTCTTTAATAATTAAAATGCTGAAATGCTAAAACTTTATTTCTATAGATTTTCCATAGATATTTTATAGATATTTCATAGATTTTAACTCAAAATTTAAATATTTTATTTTACTATAAATTCTAGAAATTTTAATTTTGTAAATAAAATATTATTTATTATATTTTATTTATAATATAAGAAGTTTAATAGAAAAATTTTGCAAAATTTTGATTTTTATTGTATTAGTTTTTGATATTATTAAATTAAATGTAATAAAATCTTAATTTTAGTTAAAAAAATTTTTAGAACCTGATTTTTCTAGAAACTCTCCTATATATTCTTTAATAAATAAAATTTATATTTTATATATTATAAAGCAATTTAATTATTTAGTTATTTGCTAAAAGGTTAGTTAAAGTTTAGACTTTAATCAAGGATTTAATCAAATATAAAATTTAACAAAAGTTTAATCATGATAAAAATAATTTAGGCAGGCATCACTAATTTTAATAATATATTATTTTTTTCTTCAACCTTCCTTTTGCTAATTTATGTTCTTCTGATTTTTTAAATATTCTTAATTTCATCAATAGTTTTTATTGTAAAATTTAAAATTTAATTTTTCAAAAATGAATAATCTGCAATTTTTTTTTTTATTAATATGCATGATATGAAGATTAATTATAGAAATTCCATTGGTATAGTATGTTTTATTCTGTCTAAGATTCTTCCTTAGTTCTTTGTTACATATCAGTAACTTTACCTAAAGCACATTTCTATTGTTACCACCTAGTTTAGACACCTGAAATAGCTATGCCTATAATAACAGACTTATTAGATTCTAGGGTACCATTATCATTAGATAGAGTGATCACTTTAATTATAGAGTTTATTATACCTTATTTTACCATAATTCTTATCAGAAATTACAACCTTTACCTGTTATTCAGGTAGGTCTGGTAATGAAACAACCTTATAAGGTTTATACTCTGGAAGTTACCATTTCTATGTAGAACTGTAAAAGTAGTAACTGTCATATCCATATCATCAATTTACCTGAGAATTGAATTGGTACTGCGACATGTAATACAGTTATTACTATAACTCTTTATGGAGTATCCAATTTACTAATTACTGGTTAATTACTTCCTTACTTGTGTAAGAGCCCCTGCCGTTTGAAGACGTAAGACGGTATCTATTACAGATCTATCAATGAAGGCCAAGTTTCTGTTGATCCCCTGGCTCCATTTGCATCTACTTATTCTTCAAATCCAGTATTTAGGTATGATTAACATCAATCGGTAGATTAATCGACCAGTTTCAAACGCATAGTAGTATATACATCCTTATGTTCAGTTACAATGAAAATCTTACGATAATCATACAGTTTATGCCTTGACTGGGATCTAAACCTAAGGCTTTCGCAGTGTAACTGATCGGTAATATCATTTTTTTTAAATGTCACCTATTGGTCTTTATCCATTAAATTGAATGATATTATAACTTATAGTGTGAAACCATTTTTTAAAAATGTCAATGCATAGTTCCTTCAATGCTTCTGACTTTTAACACATTTTGTAGTCTTTGAACAAAAGTTAAAGTAGCTTGAAATTGGAAATGTAATAATATATATTCTCCTACAAATCCGGTTGTAAAAAGATAATAGGTATGTCAAAAAAAAAGCATTTTTTTAAACAAATCTTTGGTTAACGATGAATTGTAATCTATTTAACCAGGTGATCGTATTTACATTGATAAATTAGAAATATATCACGGTAAATTAAAAACGGCGTGTCATTTTCATTTTTTCGAACAGGTTCCCTATGATTACAAGGTGATAAACAAAATCAATAATAAGTTTAATATTTTTCTGTTTTGTCATATAATGTTAAACTGAATTATTTGTTAAAACGGAGAAAATTAAAATAAGTTATCATAAATAACGTTGGTCCATCCCTAATAGTTGTGTAACGAAGACAGGTATTAATTCCTTAATTAGTTTCGCCTTAAGGCCTAAAAACTCCTAAAAAAAGGTTTCGCTAAACTAGTTTCGTCTCGAATCATTACTAATGCCTATTTATTATTGCTACACAAATATTACAAAGTATTGATATAATGTATCATCGAGTTACCCTCATAAGATAAAATCTTTAACGACAATTTTGGTAAGATAGGATCGATATTTTTGAAAGATATACGCTTCACAAATCGAAAATTTCTAAATTTTTAGGAACGCCGACGGTTAGAACTTTCTAATTTGTCGAAAACTTCTCCAAATCCCATTGGTGTCCAGTTTTGACCTTCCTTGACAAACATAACGTCATCACTTAAATACATAAGTAAGCCACCAATCCCTTCTGAAGTACCACCCATACGAAATAGCGACTTTCCAGAATCGTGGATTTTGTTGGTTGGTAAAAACAAAAAGTTTTTTTCTTGAGCAAACTCCTCCACAATTTCGAAAAAGGTAATATCCCCGATATCCGTATCAATCTTTTCAGA